AAAACAAAAACAACATTCTAAGATCATAAGACACAAAGATAAACAGGCTACTCTAATTAAAAAAGATTGGCTACTCTGTTCCATAAATAAGCCTTAACTTGATAACTAAAAGCCCCTCTAGTATTTACATGTTTGAGGGAAAGCAATAAATCATTCCACAATTTTATTCCTGTATAAAAAAAAGAACTTCTAGTTGCGGTAACACTTTAGAATACGGTTCCTTCGTTAATGAATAACTACACAAGAACTAATGAGTAACACAATATTAACAATCTAGTAACTATTATTAACTAACAAGAAACTGTGATTAACGAACTAGTAAGTAATAGCGCACAGACAAAAGTGGTAGTTTGTGGTGAATGCAAGATACATAATTCACCTTTGTTAAGCGTAGTTCTATACACTGTTGGTTGTAAACACAGCACTCTGTTCTTCACGACTGTTCAGGGATCGCGTTCCCTTTAAATGCTCTGAACGTGTGTTCACGTGGAACGCATGTCAGCGCCATTTGCTTTTATTATGTTTTCTTACTAATAATAAACGACACACGCATTCGTGTGCTCAAAGTGAGAAGTTGTCTGTCGCAATTTACTGCAATTTCCACAAGTTCACTATTAAGAAATCAATAACTACTATTTTTTTAACATTTCCCAGAGAACTACTGAAAAAGTTTATTAACAATCTAGTAACTACTATTAACTAAAAGAAACTCTTATTAACGAATTAGTAAGTAATAGCTCACAGATGAAAGTGTTACTAGATACTTCTGTGGGAATTACTAATTATTTGGATCCGTATTATAAAGTGAAGATCATTGGAACTAACTAGTAATTACTCAAGTGTTACTACATGATCTAGTCATGATTTGTGCAAACGTTTGAGATTTTTGGTGAACTTTAGTAACTTTTAGAAAATGTCTTTAGTAACACTTGAGTAATTACTAGTTAGTTCCAATGATCTTCACTTTATAATACGAATCCAAATAATTAGTCATTCCCACAGAAATATCTAGGAACACTTTCATCTGTGAGCTATTACTTACTAATTCGTTAATAAGAATTTCGTTTAGTTAATAGTAGTTACTAGATTGTTAATAAACTTTTTCAGTAGTTCTCTGGAAAATATTAAAAAATTAGTAGTTATTGATTACTTAATAGTGAACTACCACTTTAGTCTGTGCGCTATTACTTACTAGTTTGTTAATCAGAGTTTCTTGTTAGTTAATAATAGTTACTAGATTGTTAATATTGTGTTACTCATTAGTTCACTAGATTGTTAATAAACTTTTTCAGTAGTTCTCTGGGAAATATTAAAAAAATAGTAGTTATTGATTACTTAATAGTGAACTACCACTTTTGTCTGTGTGCTATTACTTACTAGTTTGTTAATCAGAGTTTCTTGTTAGTTAATAATAATTACTAGATTGTTATTATTGTGTTACTCATTAGTTCTTGTGTAGTTATTCATTAACGAAGGAACCGTATTCTAAAGTGTTACCCTAGCTGCATGATTGACACTGGGCACTATACAGGACCGTACACTGGCTCTAGTGTTATAGTTATGATGTGAATTGACCATTTTTACATGGGAATTTAAATATTTAGGCGCAGAGCCATTAATGACTTTGTACATGAGATTCAGCTTTAACCGCTCCACTCTGATATGAACTAGTAGCAGACCTACCCTTTTAGCAAGCAAAATCTGTCAATGTGATGACACTAGGGTGATGCTTCAGAAAAGACCAATAAGAATTGGCGAGTGTAATTTGCATGCCACTCCCGCGGATATACGCGTATAACAGAAGGTGGCTTGCATCCACTCATTCTGAGCCTGTGATTCTCTCTTCATTCATCTTTACCTACGTTTTGTTGGATTCCTAGGGTGCATTTCAACGGCTGTGTCTCTGACTCAACTGGGCCCCGCCAACATGTGGTTGTGCAGATTGAGTCTGACGCTAAGATGGCTGCTGTGCTTGCCCGTGCTGCCGCAAACATCAGGCTTGTTGAGTGGATTCCTCCTGCCCTGAGCAATCACGGGTAGATGATTGGTTTCTGGTCTTGGATCACCTCACTTAGCCTCACTCATTTTTAGCACCCACAGTTCATTTTTATCCTGGAGGTGCATAAAGTCGTGGTATGTGTAGGGGTGTGACGGTATTATAGTTAAACCGACGGTTATAGTTAAACACCGTCATTAGAACTCTATAAACATGCTATTAAAATATTTTTTGCAAAAAAGTTTTTTCATAGAGAATGTTTAAATACTAATATCAGCTTACGAGGGAAACGGAGGCGGAGTTAGTGGTGCTTCGGAGGCTGAGTGCTGGAGATGATTCGGGTGAGGTCCACCTTTACTGATCAGTTTGACACGCTCAGTTTATAAGCCTTGTTTATACTCGCCGCGTCCGCACGAGCGTGGCAAAAATGGCGCGTTGGGTCAAGACCCCATTTCGCTTGGCTGTATGAACAGCTTTTTTTTTTAATGGCGCGTGCGGCGCCACATCCGAGGATGAACGACTTCAAGTCGAATCTGCCCGAGCGTGTACTTCTCACCGCACCGGTTGCGCGTCTAAATTGCAAAGTTTTTTTGTTAAGGTTTTGATTACTGTGTGTGATTTATTTAAAACAAAGCACGTTCTTTGCAAAAAGGATTTGTTTACTGTTTATAAATCATTTAATGGAAAGCACATTCACTTCTACTTGTCTTGCTGTTCATTTTAAAGGATAATTCCGGTATTTAACACCTTGAGTCTATTTTGTAGTTTGTTTTGAATGAAATAGAGTGGTGGACTTAGAAATTTTGACAATGGGTCCTGTCTCGACTTTTTTAGAATCGCCTGTGACCGCGTTAGACTGGCTGTCTATGGGCATGCACAAACATGTCCTTAAAACAACCCTTAACGTTCATTTTCAAAACTGTGCAACTCACCGAGTGATTAGAAAAGATAAAAGATAACAGTAGAAAGATAGAAACAGAAAACTTTAGCATTGGTGCTTTTTTACTTACTCAAAATACGAGTGTGAAAGTCAAACTGAAAAATAAAATAAAATTTAGGTAATATTATAGTTAAAACTGGTTACATAAAATTGGTATTGAAAAAGGTATCGTTCAGGAACCGGTATCGAAGTCAAGGTATCGGTATCGAACATTTTGTTACGATACCCAGCCCTAATAGCCAAGTCCTTTTACACGCCTGGTGTGGCGACAGGTTTGGGTAAATAAAGGCCTGTCTCAAATACAAACCGGTGCAGTTCGGCGATTTGGGAAAATAAGGGCTAGCTCTTTACGACACAAGAGAGCTACCCGCCCTAAAAATACACCATGTGCTCGCGGCTAGCTCGCCCTTTGGACGGCAAACCGCCTCTCGCGCTCCCACGCTTTCTTCCCTCATCGAGCCTCGACGGAAGAAGCGCGCGGGTGTTGAAGGTGTGCCCCCTCTAAAAGTGTCGGCCGTCCGGTCACGGTGGCCGGTAGATGAAGTGAGTTTACCCGCCAATTACCCGGTGCTAATTTCCATCCCTGGTGACGTCTGTTTGCAGATTAGTGTTCTTTCCGATTCGGATCAGTCCTTCCTTCTTGCATTCGAGTTGGTTGTCTCCTCTGCCTTAAAAGTGTACGTGGCTGCTATCCCAATGCAGTGAATGATAAGTCCTTGGGGAAAGTCATGGCCTGATTATCAGGTTTTTAATCCAGATGGTTACCACCAAGGAGAATGTGGTGCTGATAACTTAAATTGTCGCACTGTTTAGCCCCGTTTTAATGTGAATCAAACAAAAAGAGAAACAGAAAATCACTTCCTGCTAAAAAAAAGAAGAATGTTGCCCTGATAGTGTGCAAACACTTTAGCAACAAAAAACCGGTCTGATAATTACTGTTGGTTAAAAATAGGATGTACCTGAAGATATGCTGCGTTTAGAAACGGAGATAACAATCTACAACAGTTCCAAAAATGTAATAAAAATCCACATAGTACTGTAAACATTCACTTGTTTGGTCTCTAGAGTGTAGTCCAGTCTCTGGTGTGGGAGTATGTGGCCGTTTCCAGTGTCTGGATGAATGAATGTTACATTACAATAAGAGAAACCTTTGTGATCTTGCACAAAAGGTACTGTATGTTATAAGCCATGGTATTAGATAATACTATGATATATACCATGGTACTTGATGATTATCATATGATGGCATTCATAGGGTACTCTAATGTGATTAAAAGAATACCATGGTATATATCCAAAACAAAATTGACATTGCCATGGTACATTAAAGTAAATACTGGGTTATTGGCTGCAAACCAAATGTACATATGAAGATTTGCCATTGATCATGTGATTTTTGGGTGGCATGTCCTCGTTATTATTTTATAAAACCATTATAAACGTTCATTTTAAAAGTAAATAATGGATTGCATTTTTTTGTAATCAGGTTTTAAGTTTTTAAAATACATTTGCAAACATCTTATTTGCATTCTTGGTTAGTAAACTTGGCTATTGGATTGTTGGACAACAGTGTTATTTTAGTAATATTTATACTCTATTATAGTTTTTTATTTTGGATTAATTTTAATATTTTTAGTTTTCATTTGAATTTTTGTTTAATTTTTATTTTTTATAAAAGCTTGAACATTTATTGAAAAACAAAAGGAAAATGCAGTGAAGCATTTGCAAACATTTTTAATCGTTTAGCTCACATGTTGAAAGTGAAGCTGTTTTTTAGCAGCACCGCTAGTGTAGCTCGATTGACAAATGATGTTACTTATTAAAAACTTATGTTACTTGAACGTGAAAATGCCATGGTTTCTTTTAAGGTAGCCTACAGTCAACACTTTGGGTGTCATCTTGAAACGTTATCCTGATATCTGCTTTTGTGGAATTCCAATAATACAGTTTAATGAAAGTGTCAAAAGGCCTCTTCAGTAAAGCTTCAAATGTCAGTATGTCACTGATAGCATTTAATCAAGCTGTCAGAATTATACTAATCTTGTTTTTTTTCTTTCTCTGCAGGAATCTTCTAGACAGAGACACGTTCTCCAAATCTGATCCATGTGAGTACAGCCAATGAAAGATTGTCTTTTCCTTTTATACTCTTTCTGCATTAATTAGCGACCCCCACTCGTTTTCTCCGTGGTCTCTTGTCTTTCGCTTCTCGTCAAACACCAGCGTGATTCTGATGAGTTCTCATCTGCAAAGCTCTGCGACCAAATCACAGGCCATCTGACCAATCAGAGAAGAGTAGACCAATCACAACAGACTGGGCCATCTGACCAATCAAAGAAGAGTAGACAAAATCACAACAGACTGGGCCATCTGACCAATCAGAGAAGAGTAGACAAAATCACAACAGACTGGGTCATCTGACCAATCAGAGCAGAGTAGACCAATCACAACAGACTGGGCCTTCTGACCTATCAGAGTAGAGTAGACCAATCAGAGCAGACTTGGCCGTCTGACCAATCAGAGCAGACTTGGCCGTCTGACCAATCAGAGCAGAGTAGACCAATCACAACAGACTGGGCCATCTGACCAATCAGAGCAGAGTAGACCAATCACAACAGACTGGGCCATCTGACCAATCAGAGTAGAGTAGACCAATCACAACAGACTGGGTCATCTGACCAATCTGAGCAGAGTAAACCAATCACAACAGACTGGGCCATCTGACCAATCAGAGAAGAGTAGACAAAATCACAACAGACTGGGTCATCTGACCAATCAGAACAGAGTAGACAAAATCACAACAGACTGGGCCTTCTGACCTATCAGAGTAGAGTAGACCAATCAGAGCACACTTGGCCGTCTGACCAATCAGAGCATCACCATAAAAGTGTCATAAAGATACACATTATTAATTTTGCCAATGGTATTTTATAAAAATAGAAATTAATTGAAAAGGTAATTAATTAAATATTTCCACATTTATTGTTTTTCAATTATTATTGAAATGATTAAGCATTTGGGAACATAATTCCATTTCTGTTTTCCAATTAGCATTACAGAAGCAGACTCATTAAATTCCTTCCAAGGAACAATTAAGGAAGCAGCTACAGTACATTTCTTTTAGATTCTCGTTCTTGTTTCTCCTTTAACTGTCTCCCCACTCCGCTTCAAACAATTGATTGATTGATGTTGTTAAAAATCAAATTCTTATTGTCTTTGTTATATGACACTATATTGCTCGAAATAAAAAAATTTAAAAAATCATTCATTCATGTCTGAAATTTTCACTTGAGAATGTCATAATTTTATTGTTTAGTTTTTGTATGTAAGTGAACGTTGGCACTAATTTTTGCCTTTTTTTTCCCTTTTACAGTGTGTGTGTTGTACACTCAGGGTGTGGAGACCAAGCAGTGGAGAGAGGTACGTACACACACACACCTTGACTGTTCCCAGCTTGCATTGTTTCATCTGTGGTGTTGTTGTCCAATCAGGCGTGTCGATTCTCCCTGCAGCAGCATGCGGTCACGCGTCTGTCTGCTCTTCCTCTTCTGTACACCATCAAAACACCTCCACTGTCTTATCAAGCACAAGCAACACCCAGTTCGGCGCCCGTACAACAGCGCTCAGTTCTGTCTCACCCGGCTGCACAAATCAAGGGTCGTTTCTCCCACAGTGTTTTAATAGTGATGAGTTTCCGTACTTTCAGATTCGAGGTAATGAATCAGAGGAAGACTGTCCTGCTGGGTGCTGCTGTTCTGAACAGTGTTGTCCCCACTAGCTTAGTGATAAGAGCTGGTACTCTGTCATTTGGTCATTTTACCCTCGAAATATCTTTAGTTTAATATGATACATAATGTCTTTAATAGCATTAAAGATTTAAATAAGTAAGTGGTGCCACTGTTATCTTACGCCAGAATCGCTACATGGATAAATCTGTGCGGCTTAAAGGAGTTCACTTTAAAAAAAAAAACTTTTGCTGATGATTTACTCACCCCCATGTCATCCAAGATGTCCATGTCTTTCTTTCTTCAGTCGAAAAGAAATTAAGGTTTTTGATGAAAACATTCCAGGATTTTTCTCCATATAATGGATTTCAATGGGAACCAAACGGTTCAAGGTCCAAAAGACAGTTTCAGTGCAAACTGTTCAAGGGGCTTTAAGCGACACCAGACGATGAATAAAGGTCTTATCAAGCGAAACGAGCGGCTATTTAAAAAAAATAATAATAATTTAAGTTTTATAAGCTCAAATGGTCGCTTTACTCTGTTCTGTGATTTTGATGAACTCATTCATCAAAATTAACAATTTTTTTTGTGTCATTTGGTTCATTCAATGAACAAAATGAACGAGTTGACTCAGGAAAAGATTCGTGAACTAGTGAATTTAGTTCAAAATTGTGAAGTATGAACTATGAACTGAAACCATCCGAGTCCTACTCAACCCGCTCCAAACGGGATTCGAACCCGGTTTACTTGCACAGCAACTACTAGCTGGCCTTTGTTACACTAGTTCATTTTAAAATTTGTGAACTTTCCCAACACTGCAGACCAAATATAGTAAAGAAATACATTTTGACATTTGCCTCACATCACCAACTCCATATAAGTATATGACTTTTCCATATGCGTCATTTACGGGGCCAATCTGACCAATCAGAGAAGAGTAGACCAATCACAACAGACTGGGCCATCTGACCAATCAAAGAAGAGTAGACAAAATCACAACAGACTGGGCCATCTGACCAATCAGAGAAGAGTAGACAAAATCACAACAGACTGGGTCATCTGACCAATCAGAGCAGAGTAGACCAATCACAACAGACTGGGCCTTCTGACCTATCAGAGTAGAGTAGACCAATCAGAGCAGACTTGGCCGTCTGACCAATCAGAGCAGACTTGGCCGTCTGACCAATCAGAGCAGAGTAGACCAATCACAACAGACTCAGGAAAAGATTCGTGAACTAGTGAATTTAGTTCAAAATTGTGAAGTATGAACTATGAACTGAAACCATCCGAGTCCTACTCAACCCGCTCCAAACGGGATTCGAACCCGGTTTACTTGCACAGCAACTACTAGCTGGCCTTTGTTACACTAGTTCATTTTAAAATTTGTGAACTTTCCCAACACTGCAGACCAAATATAGTAAAGAAATACATTTTGACATTTGCCTCACATCACCAACTCCATATAAGTATATGACTTTTCCATATGCGTCATTTACGGGGCCATCTGACCAATCAGAGAAGAGTAGACCAATCACAACAGACTGGGCCTTCTGACCTATCAGAGTAGAGTAGACCAATCAGAGCAGACTTGGCCGTCTGACCAATCAGAGCAGACTTGGCCGTCTGACCAATCAGAGCAGAGTAGACCAATCACAACAGACTCAGGAAAAGATTCGTGAACTAGTGAATTTAGTTCAAAATTGTGAAGTATGAACTATGAACTGAAACCATCCGAGTCCTACTCAACCCGCTCCAAACGGGATTCGAACCCGGTTTACTTGCACAGCAACTACTAGCTGGCCTTTGTTACACTAGTTCATTTTAAAATTTGTGAACTTTCCCAACACTGCAGACCAAATATAGTAAATTTGGTCTGCAAATTTATAGCAAGGGGGACAAATTTATAGCAAGGGGGACATGTCCCCACCACTTTTTGCCAGGGTCGATTTTGTCCCCACCACTTGAAACATCTCGCGGCACAGATGTACCAATACAAATAAAACATTTCCAGTTAACAGCATTCGTTTCTTTTGTTTGTTAAATAACAGGTGATCTAGCACTGAAATTTGTTGTCTTCTCTCGGAAATGCGCTTCAATCCATTGTGGAGATTTGTTCCGGTGAAATCACAAATCAAAATGCACACAAACGTGTCCCTGTTTCTCTGGGTTCTAAACCGCTCTCGTATATTTTTTTTCCCCTCGTCAAAACATATACAACCACTGATAAACATTATATCAATTCTACCACTTATCAGTCCATCCAGAAAAACGCGATTATGCGATCGCTGAATTCAATGCAAAATCAGCCAAAGTCCGCATATTTATGCGGGGGCCGCATTTTTTCAAATACGCCGCACTTTCGCCGCATAAATTGCCGATTTCCGTGCAAAATATGCGAGGTTTGCATAATTTCATAATCCTCGCATTTTCGTTGCAAAAAAAAAGTCACATGTATCTTAGCAGAAAGTTGAAAAATGTTGCGTTTGCTTCACATAAGAGCAGCCATTTCCCCCTGTTTCCATGGGAACGTTATGAAGTGACGCAATTACGCGACGCCAGACAGACTCACGGAGGCGATTGACATCTCACAAATCGAACTCGTATAACTGTCTGTCGAACGTTCTACTGTCACATCGTTACTTAATAAACAACGTAAGATAAAAGTAGTAGCATCAAACAGAAATTACCCGCACACATGGGGTGTTTGAGGCGCACATATAATATAACACTGCAGAGAGTTCAACAGGGAGCGCGCAGCTCTTAAAGGGGCCACACCTTATTTACACTCTTACAGTCTGAAATAAAACAAGATGAGAAATTAAATATTCCCAGCACTTTCTATGATGTAGTATGCTTGCTTATCAAAGGAAGTAATAAGAAATGACTCTTATATTAACAGGATGTTGGGGGAATCACTTTTTTCTCTTTTTCATCAAACCGCAATTTTTGCAAGTTCCCTCAATTTTTGCAAATTCCAGCAATTTCATCGCATTAAATTGCATAAATATCCCACATATTCCATCGCATTTTTAAAGAAAACTGGCCGCATAATCGATCAATTTTTGCCCGCAACAATCACAAAAAAAACTCTGCGTTTTTCTGGAAGGACTGAATACTATTATGGCAAATGTTAAATATAAATCGCAAATTTTTTCACAAATTTTTGGAAATTACCACCACAAAATCAGTCATTTTGATCGCAAAAATCACCAAAAAAATCGTGAAATCCTGGAGGGACTGACTTATAAACATTATTGGTTTTGATGAGGGAAAGAAAAAAAATATTAGAGTGCGGATTAGAACCTCCAACCTCCCGAGTCTCGACACGCTAGGCAAAAAATGTACCTCGGGATCATCTCTGTACATATGCAGTAAATGGCGAATAAACTGTATATACTCACTATACTAGCAACATATTAGATCTCATTGTACGACCAATTACACCCAAGTACCAACACATTTTTGGTCGGACATCACATCTTTGTGCTCATTTTTATTTATGTACATCAGTAAGCTACAGGACATCGTCTTTCAAAACATGACCTACTCGGTAGTGAAAAAAAGAATGAATGCGTCATTGTACCCTGCACTTTTGAAAATGCCCTTCTGAATACGTCTCTGTCCCCAGCACATTTCAAACCAAACTGACACCCATGGACTTTTCTGATGTAGTAAACATGCTCAGTTCTTCTCCTTCTACAACACTGCACTCACGATTCAGAGCGCTTGCGTGCGAGTCCCTTAAAACACGATTCAACACTCAATAAAAGAGCTCAACACTTGTAGAAGCTGCTAATATGTCGTGATTGCTTCAGCAAATGGGTTTTTATGGGTATTAAGCTTTTAGCACCACACACACACCGAACATTTCATTTCCAAACTGACATTAAATGTACATTAACCAACGTAATAAAACATTTCCACATTCACATTCATTTGAGTTGGATAAAACTGAAATGCACGTATTTCCAGAGAGCATTGGTTGGAATTATTGAGTGACCATCAGGTGGGTCAACTCAAAGCAATGTCTGTCAATAACTATCGTCTCATGCAATATAGATATTCTTGTGGAGGGATTAGCAAAGTGAACTAACTATCTTAAAGGCTTTTTAAACACAAACAGGAGTTTTTGTTATTGTGATTTTATGTAAATTAGCTGATTTCCATGTTTAAAGTGCTCATGTATATCCATTAGAGCTGTCGACGGATGCATTGTTTAAATCGCGATTAATTGCACACTTGCCGTAAAATTAAGCATACATAATTCATCTTGTTTAATATGTTCATTTTGTCATCATTTGCAGTATCCAGCAAAGTAAACCATGAGATTGAAGTGTGATTCTCACAAAACTGTATTTTCTTTAAGCTTTTTACAAGGTAAATACTTGGAGACTCGAAAAGGTCAGCAATTACCAATTTATATATAAAGCATCCATAATTCATAAATGTACAGTATGTACATCAAAGCACCCATTAATAAAACATTAGAGAAAGGAACTACATGGGTTAATGTAAGGTTTAGGGTTTGTACATAGTTATAACCCAATTGCTATAATTTTGCTATCAACACTGTGTGCAACTTTAATGCATTAAGGGTTTTCATTGCATGTGTTAACACTTTAACGCCGACAGCCCTAATATCCAACTTTCTGAATTTCGGAGTTTTTGAGATAATCAAGTCTTTAATTCAGAAAA